ACCTTCACCTTAATGTAATCGCTAATTAGATGCCACACAGGCTTTGTTGCGTCCAGACATGGGAAATGTAATTAATGAGTGCAGATTTAATCTCATTTTACACATTTCATAATGCTTTACTTGACGTTGAGGAACAAGAGGTAACTTTTTTTGATACATTTGTAAGCCAGCATGCGTTCTCCCTTTTGGTCATGTTAAAATATTTATCACAATGATGTTTCTCTGTATTTTTACTATGTATTGCTCAATAGCGAATGATATGTCTCAATAGCGAACCTTTCTCTGTTTCTGTCTCGTAGGTTTGATCCTAGTCTGCGGCCCATGCCCCCTCCAGATTACGGTATACCCCGACTGCATTACTTTGAGGATTGGGGTGTGGTGACCTACGGCAGCGCTCTTCCTGCACAGAGAAACCATTCCTTCCTCTCCTTTAAGTCGGGTAAGCTGGGCGGCCGGGCCATCTTCGACATTGTTCATCTGAAGAAGTACAGTGAGTGGATCCGAGGCTGGAGAAACTTTAATGCAGGTCATGAACATCCCGACCAAAACTCGTTCACCTTCACCCCTAGCGGTGTGCCCTTCATCACCGAGGCACTGTACGGCCCCAAGTACACCTTCCTCAACAATGCCCTCATGTTCGGACCCTCTGGACACCAGAGCTGCTTTGCCCCTTGGGAAGGTCAGGTAACTGAGGCATGCGACTCCAAGTGGCTGAAATTTAAACAAGGTCAGGCGGCAGACTGCCAGGGCCACATAGAGGCAGCCTTGGAGCAGCAGGGTTTGGTATTTATCCGTGGTGAAGCAAGGTCAGCCTACAGCCAGGAGTTGAAGGCCAGGAGCATTCAGAGGAACCTTCTACTGCTACAGCCTGAGCTGCTGCTGGTGGTGGACCATGTCCATTTGCAGCCGGACAGTCCTGTCCGCAGATACAGTGCCTTTTTCCACAACACTGATACGCCCTTCCAACCTACAGCCATGGACAAAATCCAGGGAGCCTTTATTCAGCACAGCCAGGACTCTTACAAGATGTTTTGGCTGGATGATACAGGGAGCAGCGAAAAAGCAGCAACTGGCTATTGGAGCTATCCGCATGGTTATCCATATAACGGTTCTAATTATGTTAACGTCACAATGCCGCTGAGATACCCACACACTCGAGTGGCTTACATCTTCTTTGGGCCTGAGGTTGAAGTCCAGAGCTTTAGCTTGCGTGGGGATTCAGAAAGGATTGATGTTTATCTGGCAACCCATGATCACACCTACACCGTTCATTTGCTCACAGGAGAGGCACCCAGCAAGCCTTTGTTTGCAATGGTGCTGGAGGACCAAAAGAAAAAGATTGTGTTCGAAAGGGCAGCCACAATACAGGAGCGCCCCCCGGTGGAGGTGGAGGAGTATGTGAATGCGGTGGAAGACAACCTCCAGCATGTCAAGCCAGTGTTTCAGCAGCTGGAGCGCCACATCCTAGCTAAAGTCCTGGACTCCGGAAAGTTCCAAAAGACAGACAAAAGGAAACCTGTGGTGTCAGTAAAGAAGATCTTCAGTCTGTCGAAGAAAAAGAAAGAGAAGGGAGTTAAGAAAGGAGGCCTGGCAGATGGCCCGCCGGACATATTCGCTTCGATTGAAGTGAGAGAGAAGCGGCAGAGGCAGACCGTCATGAAGCGAGGAGGTTATGAGGATGTTCCAGAAGAGAACGATGGGGACTCGAGAGCTTTTATCGACTACAGCGACATGCGTAGAGTTCGGAAGGGGGGGGTCATAAAAGGACGCAGATTTAACGAGGTGCAGGCTGTAGCCACTGTGGGCATGTCGCACTCATCCAGCTCCACCTACATCCGACTCTTCCTCATCCTCAACATCCTCACCTTCTTCCTGCTGCTGGCCGTGCTTCTGCTGCGGCTTCCGAAAGCCCAAACCCTCCACACCCAGCGCTGCGTCTACTGCCTCCTGCTGATGGACAGCTTCATCCTGCTGTGCCTCTATTCCTCCTGCTCTCAGAGCCAGTGCTGACATCATCAGCTCGGGATGTTTTTGGATAGACGGACAGATGAACTTTGTCTACTTGAGTGGAAGTTCCTTTTTGGTTCCCTGGCGAAGCTTTGGGGACTCTGTTTTTGGGGTAACTGCTGTGAAAAGTGTAGGGCTTCCAGTTGAACGTCTCTGTTTGGCGTGATATTTTCAGGAAATAACTGTCAAATAGTAATTTTCTAATTCATAAGCCATTAAAATAAAAACAATCACATCACGCCTACATTTTAAACGCATATCGAACACAGTGTTTTTAGCTTTGGAAAAATCTCAGTTTACAAAAGTGAACCAAACACCATGAAAGTGTTAAATGCATCTTGTTTTTTGAATGAGAAAAATATTGCAGGGCACAATGACATCATTCACTAAGTATAAAAGTCTGAGAGGGAATATGGTTGGGAATCTGAATGAGTTTATGAGCTGATGCTTTGTGTTTATTTACCAGCTTCACTTTCTTAGTATGAAGAGCAGTTTTTAAATAATGATTTGTCAGTTTTCTCATACAAACTGTTGTTAAAAGCTAAAATTGATCTTCTTTTGGTCTAAAGGTGGTTCAAATACCTGAAAAGTTTGAGTGCTGACATTACAACAGGGGGGTAAAGTGAGCGTGGCCTCATTCCCAATGTAGCAGTGTCACTATTGACACAAATATTTAATGTGTGATATTGTTTTAATCTAAATAAACCAGATTAGGCTTTAATTTGGTCAGTTATGGTAAAATGATGTAGAAGAGGATCAGTGTTAGGCTTTCAGCAGACGTTTTCTGCAGATTTGCAAAGAAAATTAGCCAGATGTTTTTATTAGGGATGCACCGATTTGAGAAATGTGTTCTGATATTGATATCTAATATTTACAGAAATAAGAGTGAAAATCTCTCTACACTGACTCACTGCAGCTGTTTGTTTAAAGATTTGTTGTAAAGATCATTAAAAACGTAATGTTTTATCATTTTGGGCCCATTTTCTGGTGCAGGAGTGCAAAGATCTGTCTGATACTGATATGTTCCTGAGGTCATCGTGCATCCCTAATAAACAGCTTTATATTAATTATGTTCATTTTAAAGAGCTTTGTGTTCCTGAATGGACTGTTTGTCTAGTACAAAACACATAAACATGTGCTGTAGTGTTTGCAGGTTGGATGGAGCTGCGGTCACTCTGAGCCACCGTTAAAACATTAATAATAAAGTAGATTCTGAGAGGAATTTGTAGATTAGCTGGAGAGCACGTCAGATTTTAAGCTTCTGTGGAGCTTCAGAATAAAGTGTGTGCAGCCACTAAACTTCAGTGCAATCTGTGCACATTTGAAATTCAACAGGAAAAAGTATAAAATGTACATATTTGAAAGCAAGATTTATAAATATATATATTTTTGGGTGTTGTTTTGTACTCTTTGTAATTAAAAAGCAAATACAAAAACATTCCTGTGTTTTCTGCTGTTTATATTTTTCTTTTGTTCTGCTCTAAACTGCAGTTAAACCGGAACAGACTGAACAGGTGGAGCTTTAAATTTTACTGCAGTCATTATTTTAGTCATTATAATGTCTGCTGTAGACTGAATGGGTGGGGCTAAACTGCTGTAGCTGAATGGGTGGAGCTAAACTGCTGTAGCTGAATGGGTGGGGCTAAACTGCTGCAGGCTGAATGGTGGGGCTAAACTGCTGTAGACTGAATGGGTGGAGCTAAACTGCTGCAGGCTGAATGGGTGGGGCTAAACTGCTGTAGACTGAATGGGTGGGGCTAAACTGCTGTAGACTGAATGGGTGGAGCTAAACTGCTGCAGGCTGAATGGTGGGGCTAAACTGCTGTAGGCTGAATGGGTGGGGCTAAACTGCTGTAGGCTGAATGGGTGGGGCTAAACTGCTGTAGGCTGAATGAGTGGGGCTAAGTGAGTGACATTCAGCTTTTCATGATATGGGCCCTTGAAGGCAGATGTAGATATGTTACCTATAGGTCCTGAAAAAAGCAGGACTTAGTAGCTGCACTGCATGTTTATTTTTGGAGATTCAGAGTTAACGAACAGGATAAAGGAAATATCAGAGGCGTTCTGTGCACACCACAGTCCAGCAGGAGGCGCCAAATCACCTTTCAGCTGGCAGTCAATCAATTACTTGCCTGTTGAAGGAAAGTACTTTAAATTTCTATCGTTTTGTTTAAAACATTTCAAAAAGTCATTGAACCCCCTTATAAAACTGACCTAAACAGTCTTACAGCCAGACAGTTACTACCGTTTACTACAGAAAACTGAACAAAACTTTGTAGAATGCTACAAAACAGCACTACAGTGGATCAAACAGATGAAAACTGACTGGTTAAAAATCTCCCAAAGCGGCAAAACAGTGATTTTGTGACTGTACAGGCTCAGCAGCCGCGAATACAGTAACAATATCGGGACATTTACCTGATTATTTACAACTTTAAAGGGTGAAAGATAACTGAAGTACATGACCCATGCATCATTGCCGGCACCGCTTTGTTGGGATGTGCGACCGTGACGTCATCCGTGCGACAGCTTTTGCAGTCGTTTTGCAGAAACGCTAATAATTTCTTTTTCTTTTTTTTGATGCTAATAAATTCGCACCATCAGCGCGGCGTTCGCGGCCGCAGAGACTAAAGTTCATCACTTTCAAGTCACTTTAACAGACGTTTTCACCTCAAACAGCAGGGGGCGCTCTGAGCGCTTCCCTTCCAGATACAAAGAAGAAGAAGAAGAAGAAGTAGGGCAGGATGGGTGCGCGTGTGGGGCGCCTGCTTTGGCGCTTTAATGTGGAGAGTCGCGCGCACAAAGAAATAAGCAAGAGCAAGCCGGAGCCCGCGCCAAGGCACGAGACGTTCAAACCAGGTAGCACGAGACACGCAACACACAGTAATTAGTCAATGAGGTTTGTGATTACTGTGATGAAATTGGCTTCTGACGGGAACATTTCCCCGTTCCACCTTAAATGGAGCAGCAGTTCCAGTCTGGCGCTTCATGGAGCGAGTAGTGCAGAGCTGACTCTAACAGTGACCTTAACTCTGACCCTGAACTCTGACTGCAGCCTTCATGAAAATAAATATATTTATTAATGTTACAGCAACACTAATTGATCGTGTGAAACCGGCCTGTGTTCGTCCTGATCACTGATTAACCTGATTAACCTGATTAATTCAGCTAGATCTCTTTATCGAAGCTCTCCTGTTACCTAAGCAGGTAGAATCCACTGGAATGGTGATCAATAAATGAATATCTCATATTTCTAATAACAGCTCTGTGATTGTGATATTAAACCAGATGTGTTGGTTGCTTTGACTGAATAAACTGATCTAGGGTTCAGATTTACTGCTGAAGTAGTTTCTGTCCAGTTACTTTAGGTCATTTATTGCTGAATATTCTTCTTATTGATGCTGTTTTAGCTCTGTATTCAATTTTATATTTCACTGCTACTGTAATATCTAATATTAAAGATGCTATAACAGATTTCATCGATTGATTGTGTTCAATGTGTATATAATACAGTTGATGAGCATATACATCAGAAAATGTTTTATTTTAAGAATTTAAGGTTTAATGATGAATGGAGTAAATGAAATTCTCCAAAATGATATGGGAAAAATATAAAGTATAATAAAATATAATATAAATCAGGGTGTTTTAATCTCAGTCCTGGTGATGCTGCACATTTTTATAGTGTGTCTCATCCAGCTCACCTGATTCATTAACTAATTAACTAATTAACAAAGTGTGCTGAAATATTCAGTGTCGAGTCACCACAACTGAGATTCAACCCCCCCCATATAAATATAATAAATATAAATATATAAAAGATGATGTAAAACTGTACATAATATAAAATCCTGAATCTGCTGTAACTGATTTATTTCCTTTTTTTAATCCGACCCTATCAGAGTGTGAGTTTGTGCTGAAGCCCTTTTAGCTTCTGGAGCATGAAGATGAAGAAGAAGAAGAAGATGATGATGATGACGATGATGATGAATATCTTGTTCTGTCCCCTGCAGGTCCTGTGGTCAGTGAGGAAATCCACAGGAAGGACGACCCTCTGCTGTTTCGACTGAAGCAGCTTTATGTGGAGTCTAAAGATCCAGTGAAACAGGTAACAGAACCAATCAGAACTTTAAAAACTCTTTATTTATTTATTTATTTTATTAACCTAATTTAAATAATTATTAACCTCATTTAAATAAATAAACAAACAAACAAAGGAAATGTGAGAGAATTCAAAACTACCCATGCTGCTCTCTGCAGTCAGTGTGCTGCCTCCTGCTGGTGTCTATGACTCTCTCTTTGTTTTTCAGACTGCAGTCGTTCCGGAACTGAAGAAAGTGGAGCGGCGGCCACTGAAGCACAGTTTTCCGGGAGATCATTTGGGAATTGGTGAAATTACGGACGTTCCTGTGGGAAAGATCTCCATCGTTGAGGCTCTGAAGGTTCTAAACGATCATAAACGCTCACCTCAAACGTGGACGCTGGAGAAGATAGCGCAGGATTACTCGCTGCAGCTGAAAGACGCTAAAGCACTCGTAGAGTTTTTTATTCCATTCGAGGTGAAAATTATTCCACCGAAATCAGACAGGAAACAGATTAAGAGCTCCTAAGGGTGAACATGACCTCTGACCTGATCTGAGACCTGGTCAGATTCAGTCAGTAGACGCTGATGAACATTAATCTTTAATTGTGTAAATTCTCAAAGACAGAAGTCAGTCTGAGAGACGCTGAGCAGCCTGTGATGAACGTTATTAAAAGTTTTTCTGTTTTATGTTCAGTAAAGATGTGATGTGAAAACTTGCGTCTGGTCTTTTTAATAATAACAGCTCAGTAATGTGGCTGAATGTGGTCTAATTCATATATTTAATTAAATACAACACAAATCAAACTAATAAGGTTGTACACACAAAGTTTAACAATTCACAAAATTCATAATTTATTACGATAGGATACATTGGTGTCGAAATTCAGTTCACTTTTCAATACAGCAAAAATAAAGAGGGACTGAAAATCTGTCTTATATTAATATGTTAATGTTTTCAGCTTATTCCTCACTACATATGTTAGCACCCAGCAGAAGCACTAGCCTTGAGCTAATATGTTAGCATCGAGCTAAGCGTAAACCATGAGTTAATGTTAGCACCCAGCAGAAGCACTAGCGATTTTGATGTAACAGACTTTTATAGCTGGTGTTACGACTCTGTTACTGTTGACCCGCCTGTAACTTCCAGCAGCTCCAAACAAGGTTTACATTTTCGGCAGATCTGCAGGTAGTTTATAGAACAAATTTCATTTTGCTATATTTGTAAACTGGTGGCTGTTCTCAGTTCTCCTCCAGTTATTTACTGTTCTAATCAACTCAGATTTGTTTTATACTTATGATTTACAGCCCCAAGTCCAAAAAGTTGGGACGCTGTGTAAAATGTAAATAAATGTAAATAAAAACTGAATGTAATGATTTGTAAAATCTCATAGATCCATATTTTATTCACA